AGAGGAGTTGAAAGCGCCATCGCAGGAGTACGGGCGAGACGCCCGGCGTTAACACGGGAGAGCTGCTGGAAATCATGCTGGGGGCGAGAAGGCCATCACACAACGCCGGGAAGAAAACCGAAACGCTTTTCGCCGGCCGGGCGGAGGACATCATTTCCACCACACCCGCGACATCCTTCTCGACGTTCGGGAGGGAGCGGTCAGTCACAAACCGAAGCACCTTGGCAGACGCCATGTCCGCCGCGGGTTCATCCGCCATCGTAAACAGCTGCTCCGTGACCAACCTGATCAGACTGACGAGGAATGCTTCGGTACCACCCCCGCCAAGCATAGCCGAAAACATCCCCCCGTTGGCACCACCGCGTGTCATGGCATCCGCCACGCCCATCGTGTCGGAAGCAAGATCTCCTGGCTTCAGCTTGGAGAACTTATCTTTGTGGCGCAGAACCTCGAACAGCCGATCAAGGAAAGCCGCCGACCACTCCAGCATCACACCGCCTAGCCCTTCGCACGCTTCGTATAGGAGCTCGTGTCCATCCGTACGACCTTCTTCGGCGGAGTCCAGCCACGAACACGGGGCAGGTTTCCAGTCATCGAGAGCACCTTCAGAGTAACTGACGTATGCCACGACAAAATCAAACGGGGACGAACGTGCCAGGCCAGCATCCGTATATTTAGGTTCAGAACATGGGCTTCAATATACGCTCGGAAGAATGCGATACGCAACACATTTGAACCATAACCTACCACCCGCGGCGAGCCTGAATGCGTTGCGCCACAACTAACCTAGTGGGACTGCCCAGGACAGGAATCCAGCAAAGGATCAAATGGTAGAGTTGAAGGGTCACAGACGTCTTGAACACATCGCTCGAGTCCAGGCCTGGTAGCGTGAGCTCCAGAATCGCCGGCAAGTACGGCGCCAGGTAGGGCCGCGGGTGCATAAGCGGGCGGAAGATACAGGTCATCACGCGGATCGCTGCCGGAGCCTAGCGAACGGCAAGAAGACAGCATCGGCGTATGAAAAGGCCGTGGGGAGAGAAGAGAGCAGGCGACGGTAATCTGAGAACGGGGGACAAGGTTGTCCTACCGCCGAGAGGTACGTGCTGGGTTTCCGCTGACCAGACTGAATCGTGCGAGTAGGCCAAAACAATTCAAGAGCCCATGTGAAGCTCACGTCCGCGCGACTGCTATGCATGAAAATTACATCGAAGAGGCACAGGCCCTCGTCAAGACAGTTCGGACGGACGCCGCAGTGAGACCATGCGCAAAGCAGAAAAAACAAATGAATCAACCGAAGAAACGGAACTCCATGGACAGCAGTGTTCAAACCTGGTGTGTGTGGTTGATGGAAGCCACAGGGTCCAACGCCCGGAGGACTAGCTCCGCCGCCGCAGGGGCCACCGTTTTTGGGCTCAGGGACGCCAGAGTCGCCAAGCACATGTTCGAAAGCGACCCCACAGAGGGATCCTTCGAGTAGACCATCTCGAGGACCAACGGCAGCAGGGCATCGATCACCAATCCGGCATCATCCTGAGTGAGCTCCCCGGGCGGGAGGGTGTTCCCTAGCTCCCGGAGAACATTCTCTCCGCCCACGCGAGAGGCCAAGCTCTTGAGCACGTAGTTGACCATCAGCCCCATCTCCAAGGACCACCGACCACCGTTGCTGATGAGGTAGAGGGGTGTGGGGTGTGTGTGTGTGGGGCGTACTCTCATGTTTTGAATGCCTTAGCGGTTAAATAGACCATTGACCACGCGTCCTCGAGAGGACGGAGCATTCTTCCCACAGGACCGATGACCGATGGCCAATCGTTCCTTCCTGCCTTGCCAAAGGTGGCTCAAAAACGTCTTCCCCAGTCAATCTATCCTATCGATATTGCTTCCCGCCTTTTCAACCCACCTCCTATGCCCCAGTTCAGTTACTGCCTTCTCCTGGCTATTCCATGAGGGGTGTGGGGGGGCGGGATACATTATTTTCGCTGTACAGCGTTCATAGACTGTATGTCGTTGGCTTGGAAAATTGTTGCCTCTTACCGTCGGCAACAGCGCAGCAGCCTGCATTTCATTCAGTACCTATATTCGTGTACGCATAGCTCGCGTGCTCACCTAGGATGAAAATATGTCCTCAGGCCGCGGAAGAGCGATATGAGGTTCAGCGCTCCAGGAGAAACCGTTCTTTGCACGCCACCTTCGTGACCGTCTTGCGCGCCGCCGATGCCTTCCCCTGCCGGGGGAACGATTGCCACATCTGACACTTTAACAACTTCTGCCGATCCACCTTTGCCGAGCAGGAACACCATAAACTTCGACAGCTTTTTGAGCTTCGTCCCGCGAGAGGTAGCGGCCGTCGGAGCGAACACGCTATACTGGTAGGCCACTCGTCGGCTCCTTATGGGCGGGGCCGAACCTGCATCGCCCATGGATACCAGCGTGTGGATGCTTGCGCGAGCGGAGCTGTAAATATCCGCCATGTACGGGGTCCAATCGAACGAAGCGGAGGCGTACTTTCTCGCACGACACAGGAGGGTCAGCCAAGCTCCGTCCCACGCTGGACAGTGGTCGACTTGTCCCCAAAGACTGAAAAAAGGACGGAGAAAGAATCGGGGACCAAGTTAAACGAAGTTAATAATTCATGGCAAGGGCGGGCGGGTGCGATGAGTGGCGAAATAAAACATCGCTGGGAGGGGGATAGAGGCTCTTAGCACACCAGCGTGGTACGTCCAGATGCGTGCTACAAAAATGAAGGGGTACGTGTTTATCGTTCACCGTTGTGCCTGAAACAAGGACACCTCCTGACAAAGGCGGCTCATGGTAACCCAACAGACTTTGCCGCGGAGGAGTGAAGCAAACGATAACGGTTCTAGGAATGTTGAGCGAAAGGGGATCAGCGGACAAAGCGCACAACGTAGCTCAGGACGCCAACTGTGCAACGACGCATTCCTATCTCATCTCGACCAAGAGCGCAAAACTTCGCCTTCACATACATGATCGAGCGGGCGGCATGGACTCAAAGAGAGAAAGAGCGCTGAACACAACTACATGTAGCAACTGAATTGACGCGAGCTGTGCAACCACGCATTCCTGTCTCACCTGAACCAAGAAGGCAGAACTTCGTCATAGAGGCTTGAGCGTGCGGACGGCATGAACGCAACAAATAGATAGAGCGCTTTGAACGCGCCTTGCGCGTGCACCTGGGCTATCTCCTCCTTGAACTCGTCCCAGATCTCGCGATCCGCGCCAGGGCCCCAGTAGCGCCGCGCTCGCCGAAGCAGATGCTGCAGCGCGAGCAGTCTGGATCTCTCCGTCATGTTCGAGCCAGTCGGGAAGCCTCTCAAAGCGCACGCTTCGAGGGCGGCCAGCATCGGGCGCCATGGCAGCACCAGTCTCCCAGCGAGCGAGAGCCGGCCTTGCTTTTGGCCCAAAAGCGACCCCAGGGCGTACATGACCTTGTTGCTGCACTGCCATGGCAGAGGCTTCCTTTCGCCTTCCGCGGGAAAGACTAGACCGTACAGCGACTGCGCAATGAGCAGTCTCGAGGTGTCGTCGACGGCGTACTTCAGCCGCCGCATCCTCGTCAAACCTGTCCACACACACATGCGAAAAAGCGTCGGTCACCAATAGGACGCAACACGCTTGTTCCTGCAGACAACAAGTTCGATCTGGGAAAATGATGAAGAAGATGCAAAAGAAGACCATGGACATCATCTGTGAATATGTGAAAAGAGGGAATCGATTTCGACAGACGGCGGGGAAATGTGACTCGTTTTAAAGGTTACTTCATCTCAACACATCGCCTCGTCAGGTGACAACGGGGGCACATGACTACGTACAGTAGCTCCCAGATCCGAGAAGGACTTGTCGCAGCCCCATCTTCGTAGTTGCAGCCAACCAAAGTTTCCACATTCAAGTTCATCACCATGGCTATAAACTCATCAGCATAACCTTAGGTGCAAGAGGAACCCTAGAGAAAGGCACAAATGAGGCGGATCATTGCCAACCAAAAACATGCATGTGTGTGCATTGGCATTGGAAGATCACGTCAAGACGTCGTATTTCTGTAGGTCTACATACTGTTGTGGTTCGATCTCTCGGAAACCTTGGTGTTTCTGAAAAACATCAACACTTCCAAATGGACAGGAACTCATCTGGAGGCCCCTAGTGGTTCTGTGGAATTCAAAATGGTCCTACAGAGTACTCGTTCGTAGAGTACACAGCAGAATGTAAACGCTGTCTGCTTGCTGCTTGCAACAAAGTTTGCCGGATCCCATGGGGAAGAAAATATGAATTAAGATTGCGCGAAATTTACCACGTGCGCCCCCGTGCTTTTGGCCTTTATCCTTGCAAATACTGCTTTGGTACCAACAGGGGCCTACGTAAATGGGTTTACGACGACGAGGTGACACCCCACACGAACCTCTCTTCATTGCACAACGGGGATCCAAAGTGTCAGAACTGCTGTTATGCAACGGACGGACTGGCTCTGTTAGCGGTGCAAAAATGTTATGCACCTGAACACGCTTGGAGGACTCGTCGAACGTCGCCATGGACAGCAAAGGAAGTAAGGGCTTCTTTGATTTCGGACAGTAGATGCTCATTCTCTGCAGGAAGCCTCTCCTTGTAGGGTAGCTCAGCATTGAAGCGGTGAACAACGCCGTCGCCATCGGCGACTTCCATAGTAGAACTGCTGTAGCAGCAGCACAGGATCAAACGTCGAGTTCACGGTTGACGCGAGGTCAAAACAGCTGTGGCGTTGGTCCAACAAAGACGGTTGCTTGGTCGGTTGTATGCTGTGCCTGCGGAGTTGACCCTCCGTTGTGGTAGGGTGTGCAGGTACAGGTGCAGGTGGTGCTGCTTGGCTCTGCAGCAGAGTTCGGTAGACGGGTCACCACAGACAATATTTGGTTAGGGTATACTGCCCTCTACCGTCCCCCCTCTTTTTTTTTTTTGCTCCCTCGTTTCCTTGCCCTCTCCGCTTGCCGCTCTCCTTTGTCTTCCCCACAAGAGCGTTTCATTGAACACCACAAGAGAGAGAGAGAGAGACGAAGAAACGGAACGAGGAGAGGCTAGAGACGAGGACCACAGTTGGTAAGAATCATGGCCCGTACCTTCGCTCTCGTGGCATGCCTTGTGGCGCTTATCGCACAGGCCTCGTCCTTCATGATCGGGCCGGGGGGCGGGGCAGCCGCAACCATCAGAGCACAACGCCAGGGAGCTGCCGTATCGGGCTTCACAGGGTGCAACCCGGTGTGCCAGCGCGACGCGACGACGGACCGCAGCGCTTTGCGAATGATGGTGAGCCGTTTTACGCTTTCAAACCGCGAGAAACATTGTCAGCAAAATGAAAATGTTGTGTTTGGCCCCCAACCGCTCGTCTACGTGCCGCACGCATGTTAAGTGTGAGAGGTTGAAGGGAGAGGTGGTACGCGTGTGTCGGCGACAAAGGTGTAATAGACAAGTCATGGAGGGCTTAAGTATGTCGTAGAACGTACCTGGAATCACTCGGTAGAGCCCGTGCCTTAGTGGTGCAGGGTGTACGAGTGTGCGAGTGACGGATGTCACGAATAACAGACGCCGACTGAAAAGAGAAGAACTGCACACCCGTCAGCACCTCAGCACACCTGACTCTCCTGTTGTGGTTCACCCTCAAAACAATGAGTCATATTTTGACAGGCATCCAACGAGAGAGATGTTGAGGAAATGCGGTATTCGCCAATACCAGTGCTACGTGCACGACCATCGAGCGCTTGTTGCAAACGAAGAAACAATATGACGACGGCGTTGAGTGCATGTACGATTGGAGGTTAAGGTTGTCAAAGACAAAGGTGGGGTCTACTGCTGGACTGCTGTACAAAGTAGGTACAGCAGTAGAACGGAGTGGCCGTTGACGGCACGCTCATCGCACGTAATGTTCAAACGGGAAGGACCCCACGCACGGAAAACATCATTTCAGGCAACCACGGCAACTGCTGTGTCAGTATTAAAAAAATTACACTCATCCGTCTGCCCCGCATCGAGAAGCAATGTGGGAGCGTGAAGTACGATGTTGTCGCCTGTTGCACGACATTTGTTTAGTTTTGCAGTATAATAGCGACACACAACATCTGACCAACCAAGTACCCCTTGTTTGTTGAGAATGCTCATGCCATCGCACGAAATAGTTCCCTTTTGAGGTAGTTGTCATGGAGGATTTGTTGAGGTGTTTACATGATGTCTTGCAGAGGTGGCCGCCCACGCGCGCGGCAGAATCACATTTGCGTTCGGTTCGAAGTAAAAAGTGGAAGAGCTGGATATCGTAAGTCTTGTTTGTTGGGGCATCATTGTTCAAGGAAACCACGTGACGAACAGCAAAACTTTCGTTCTACCGAGAGTTGACTCCACGAGAGCCAACCTGCGGAAAATCGTTTCATCTTATTTTTCAGATGGTTTCCTGGGCCGTGAGCTTCGTTGTGCCTCGTGTCTTGTGTGAGGTACCCGATAGTGTGCAATTTGGCAAGCACGTGCAGTCACGCGTGTCCGTCGCGCACATGGTCTAGGTAGTGATGTCGACCACGGTAGGATATCTGTGTGCTCCAAAGCTACAGCCTCGTTTGCCAAGAGGCAACTATTTATAGCAATGCGCGTGGCTGCAACCTGTTGTTGCTGCAACTAGAGTCTACTTCTACGAGAGAACTGGATGTACAGTGTTCACGCGTCACTTTCCCACCTCTGCCGCCTTTACGGCTTTCGTCATGCGGAAAACGGATCTGCATGCCAGCTGGACCTTTCCATCCCCTCAAGCAGGAGCGGGATGCGTCCGGGCTGTACAGCACTCCCGCGCCCAGTTGTACTTGTACTCGTGCTCCGTCCCCGTCGTGTTGTTCTACATGTTTCCTAATCCTACCCTCTTGCTCTCGCTCTTGCCACCGCAGCGCCACAGGAAGGGCTTCAAGAAGCTCAACCTGCCGGCGGACCAGCGTAAGGCGCTTTTGCGGGGGCTCACGACGCAGGTGACTTTTGTACAGCTAGCTGTCTCTCGTCGGCTGGGTGTTTGTTCCACTGCATCTTGTCTTTTGGCACCATTATTCTGGTACTAAATACGGTGCGTCCTTCGACGGCGCTCGCGATGTGTACATTTTCCGATGCGTCCCACTTGACGGTGCATGCAAGGGTTTTGAGAGAGTGCGAGGCGTCCAAACCGCCGCTTCGATTCCGTCTTCGGTTCTCAGCTTCGTAGGTTGTCTTTGTGTGAACCAAATGTGAACCAAACACACCAATAAGGGCAAACTTGATTAAGCCTGCTGCTGGAGGCTGGTCGTGGTCTTTTTGTCCATGTGGCTCTTGGCTTTGTATTATTGTTCGCCTGGGTGTTGTGTTGTCCACGAAAACCCTATACATTTTTCACGGTAAAGGGGTGTACCGTTTGGACGAATGGGCCGATCACGCGTGTTCGATGTCGATACGCCTTGACCATGCCCCACTCACGTCGTGGTGCGCCTTCTGGCTTTCCAGATCATCCGCCACGGTCGCATCACGACCACAATGGTGAGGGCCAAGGCTGTTCGCAAGCACGTCGACCACATGATCACCCTCAGCAAGAACGGGTCTCTCCACGCTCGCCGCCAGGTTTGCCGAATCAACACATGCAGCTTACCGTACCGAGATCCATTTACATGCGTTGGGAGGTTTTTCTACCAGTTGGTGGCCTTGTTGTCGTGAGGATGTTCCGTAGGCGTTTCCGGTAGGCGATCGAATGGAGGGTGTCGGGGCGTAGTAGCATCGCAACATCCTGCAATTCCTCGTGGGTTGTGGGGTTAAACCCTCCCCCCCATCCGGCTGCTTGATACTTGGAATGAGTCAAGGTCGATCGTAGGGCTAGTATTGGCCATGTCTCGTACTAAATCGAAAGCCTTTATTTTGCAGCGTTCCGGTGACGGGTGACCATTCCCAATACGTTTTGGCGCATCACACGATCGACATTGAATCTTTTTACTCTACCTGCATCTCATTTTTCCGCCTCAAATGATTCATCAAAGCAACCAACACCGAAAACAAAGAAAACAGCCAGGCGAGGTCTAATCACCGAATCCAAATCACCACTTCAACAGGCAATGGGATACATCTACGACAAGCAGCTCGTGCACGCCCTGTTCGAGTCAGGAGCGGAGCGTTACGGGGAACGCCCCGGAGGGTACACCCGAATCATCCGCACAACGCCAAGGAAGGGAGACAACGCCAAGATGGCCATCATCGAGCTCGTATAAGACTCGTTAGATTTTGCCCTTTGATTGTTTGCAGCACGTGGCACCTCGTGCTTGCGCTTTTTTGCGATTGCTAGTTTTAGCTGGGCATACATGGACGGCGGAACGGGGAGAGATGAACGCCTGCAGTCAGTGTCGAGGAGTTGATCTGGTTTGCAAGGGAGCGTGACTCTGTCATGCTTGACGATTGTGGGGATGGGTGACAACCAGACATGCCCACCAAAGGCGTTCTCGTGTACTGATGATGGCGCGCACATCGTCTCAAGTAATTTCCTTAGTGGTTGCAACCACCGCACGGAAAAATCACGGCGAGGTGGGGTCGAGATATTAAATTTCGGCGAGGGAAGCAGCCGCCCGTCGAGTACTATTCCTGATGCAGTTGGGTATGACATGGGTGACACCGCCCTGTAGATGTTGGAGGAAGGAGGAGCCCTCGGTGTGTTGCACGATCATTTCCTTGACGTGGTTGAGAGCAGTGTTGGCAACCTAATACCAGAATTTTGTGGTTATATTTGCGATACTTGGGAGGCTACACAGTAAACAACAATCATGAAGGCGAAGACAAATCTCGTTTTTCCCACGACTCTCGCTCCATTGTCCCATGTCCCGCCCTTTGCCTCGGCAAGCCCTCGAGGTGCTGCAAACATGACAAAAACAAACAAAACAGCCCAACAACGCGAGGGAATCTCCTGCTTCAAACCCGCGGATATCCTTAATTCTTCCCACCGCACGTCACCTTACTGATGTTAATGTTACCGTATCGTGCCCCCGTCTGAAAAGTATTGAGCACCGGGCCAGCCAACGTCACGGGGACCAAAATGGGGCCGCATCGTCGACGAAGGGCTGTCATGCCTCTGCGCCCGCTCTCCCCTCTATTGCGGGATCGTGAGAGGCGGCACGACTCCGTAGTCGGCTGTTTACATGCACTTTTCAAATTCTCGACGCATGAAAACAACGGTACCTAACCCAATGCGTTGACCGACGTTCACGGTCGCCCCCAGCATCAACATTTCTATGGTACCGCTTGTACTCCGGCACTTCTAGCAAACTCCTATACCCGCTCCGTTGATTCATACTTCCAAGTGTCAAGCATCTAGTCTAGTCTACTTGTACGATTGTTCCTGCAGCGTTCAGAGCTCTACCCGAGTGCCGGGTTCTCCGTCATCGCCGGCCCCGTCGGAGGGTGCGCGTCTCGGTGCGAGCTGAGGAGCTCTACCGCTTCCTCGTACCGCTTGATCTCCCCCTTGACTTCGTCGTGGGATGTTCTCGAGTAACCTGCGTGCGCGACAGAAAGAAGTGCCGTGTCGATGAGATCGAGAGGGGTACACGTGCCCACCTCGACGGTCAGTGCGACCCCGATCAAATACCTTGCCGTGAAGTTATCCGCACATTGACTTGCTACATATACACGGATCGCGCTTCTACCCACAGCAGCAGTAGCTGTGATTGCGTGCCCTGTATACTTCCACTTCTTGCCCAGTGATGATGAGGGCACAAACAACACAATCGGCATGCAAAAAAAGACTCGACGGTATCGACAACGGTACAAACGCTGGTGCCATGTGCGTTTGGATGGGTGCGCCGAATTGGTGAGGCACATACCATGGGCGGACTTGAGCTTGGCCTCAGATCTCTTCAAAGCCACGCCCTCCAAATTTTCAAACGATGCCTCTCGATTCTTTGTACTGAAGTACAGGCTTGATCCGACCGAGTAGGACAGCTGTTCGATCCAAGGGAAACAAAAATGACGACGGGGAGGGTGGACGAGGATGGGTGCTGGGATTGTCTAGAAAGCGAAACATGTAAAAACGGCCTTCCACCTGCTGCTGTGCATCGTTAACTTTTCCTTGTATCGTGTCGAGCTAAAGTTTGTATATTAAATGCTCACAACGCAGGAAACAAAAAAAACAGTTTATCAGCTGCACTTTATCGCGTACATGCTGCGAAACCTTTACATCTTGATGGTCGTAGACCCAAGCGGGGAAATTAAAAGCATCGTGGACAGTCAACGCAAGACGGCCTCGAACGCGAAACATCATGCAGAGACCGCCGCCAAGCTGCCCAACACAGTCCGTACCATGAGGAAGTACGTTGCCGGCTCCATAACGTCCCAGCTGTACACCTCATAAACGCAGTAGGCTGCCAAGGAAACGTCAAGTGCATCGCAGAACAGGGGTAGAATCACACAGGACCATTCGTTAGCATCAACGGTGTCGGTGCTTGAAAGAGCGGTATCCCACACCGAGCACCTACAATACCACCATGAAAGGGTCGAGGCAGGAGAGCAGCTGCTGGACTCGTGGGGTGCATGCGTGTCCTTACGCACACGCTCTGTTCATGCATAATATATGTTGGCTTTCATTTCGTGTTGTTGTTGTGGCCTTCACGTAGAGCGCGCACCGATCTCTCTGCCCAGTACCTCCCTCTGTCCGTACTGATTTCACACTTGACGAGGTCGATTCCCGTGGTCACAGGCTAACTTGCCCTAAAAAGGTACACTCCTGGGATAACTTGTACCCAGACTCCACCCCAACCGCCGAGGGCGGTGACGTCTCGAACACGATGATACTGTATCGCACAAGCTTTAAGCCTAGCTACAGTAGGCGGTGTTGGTTCGGCGATGACGGATCCTGCCAATGAGATGGAGCCCCTGTGAGTAAAAATACGAAGAGCTGGAAGTAGCACTCGAGAAAATGACAGCCTAAAATGCGGCGAAGCAGAAGGTAGCCGAGGAAGCGGCAGAGAGAAGTTGAGCTACATGAGCTGAAGATGCAGCAGGAGTGCGGGGTGATGCCGAGGGGTCGGCGAGTATTTCTGGGAATCGCGAGCAGCGTATCGGCCGCGAATACGGGCGGAGAGACAGGAAACCGCTTGCGCATGATGGTAGCAACTTCGTCTTGTCCCAGACGCTGTTCGAGGCCTTCCTATCCAGCCAAGACCTTTCACACACGCTCGTCAAAGATCAGCCCACCTCTCCAACCAACGGTCCTTCAAGGAGCGACCTCATCGTCCTCTATGGGGAAAAAACAGCAAGAGAGCACGAACGCGCATTTCATATTTGGTGCGTGGGACGAAATCAGACAAATATCAGCCCAGAATACAGAATATTTGGAGTTGAGTATCTGCCCGGGGCTTGGGAGGTG